CAGCAAATGCAACTGTTTTAACCGGTTCCTGAAGCCTTTAACTGAGACTCCAGTTCAAATGGAGTCGCCAATGTGTTTGTGAAAATCCTCCTTCCCTAAAATAGCTCCTACCCTGAGATATCTTGCAGTATATTATAAAATGGGCCTATTTTTTACCCTCCAAGAAGCAGGACTGTTGAGATGAAAACGAATTCATGCTCCAGTACAGAATGAAACCAGGTTCCCAACCCAAGTAGACTGATGGACCCAATGCCACATGCGCCAGGGTGAACTCATTCCGATACCCGCCATTTTCTTTTCCTTAAAACTGGGGCCTGGAGTCATTCTCATGGGATGCTCCTTCATTCAATTGACATGGTTAAATGATTTCCCTTTCACATCATTTTCACCCCATGCATCATTACGAGAAGTACTCCATTCTGCTATAATGTTCTGCATTTCCTGTTCCAACAAATGGCTTGTCCTTCCAGTTCCTCATGTAATTTTCTGTTCTGCAACAAATTTCACTTGCAAAATGGGTTTGAGTAGGTTTGGCTATTTGTATTTTTTTTTTAAGGATTTTATTTATTTATTTGACAGAGACATAGCGAGAGAGGGAACACAAGCAGGGGGAGTGGGAAAGGGAGAAGCAGGCTTCCTGCTGAGCAGGGAGACCAATGTGGGGCTCCCTCCCAAGACCCTGGGACCATGACCTGAGCTGAAGGCAGACACTCAACGACTGAGCCACCTATGCGCCCCAGGCTACTCGTATTTTGAGATAAATTAAAACCAGGATGGAAGTTAGTAAAGAAAGGGAAACAATACACAGCAGAGTGTCTAGTTCAGCAGAAAGACCTAGCGAATTTCCAAAAGGGTCATTTTTTTTTCTTTCCTTTTTAATGATCAAAGGCAGAAACTCTCAAAAGTGAGTATTTTCTCACACGATAAGGATCTGAGAACTATTTTTTTTCACCTCCCACTGAGACCTGGTTTCACAGGTTGTGTTCCCCAGGAAGCGAACTTTGAGATGCTGATTTAGGTAGAGAGGCATATTTGGGACTGCCCTTAGTTCAATACGCATGGAAGAAAAGGAAGGAAGCAGGATAGGGCAGAGGGAGAAGCTGGGCTATGGAGCAAGTACAACAAGATCTCAGCCAATCCCACAGGGAAGTCTAGAGCAAGAATGGCCCTTCCGAGTTCTCCCCAGCCAGGAGAGGGGGGAGGGGTATTTATATTTCAGCATCAGAAGTTGCGGGCTCTCCCCAATGGGGGTGTGATCCGGGCGAGAAGGCTCTTTCTCCACCAGGCGACAATTTCCAGAGAGAGACATTAGCCAACAATCTTCTCAGTAGCTAGAGGACTAAGCCCTTTAATCCTCAAGCAGGGATCTGGACGATGCTGCACAGTCTCCAAAGAAGGGTAAGGCCTTATAAAATTTGTGATTAACTACCTTAAGCTGCAACAGGTGAAAGGAGGTGTATTTGCTTGTCTGAAAGCAGTGGCATGAGGGGCAGGCAACTAATCTAATATGCAAGGGGCCTGCTGAAATACTCTCCGGGATGGCCACAGGCAGCACCATTTTCCTGCTCTCCCTTTGCCTCTTCCAGCTCACCAGTATCACCAGGAAGGGACTCAGACCCTCCTCTGGTACCCTGATTTTTGCACCGGCCCAAGAGGCACCTCTAGACCGCCTGCCTCAGGTGGCCGGTGGGGCTTACATCTACAGGCCTTGCAGGACTGTAACCAATGGAGAAACAGTTCCTTACCAGCTACTACCACCAGGGTACAGCAAGAAGGGCCGTCTTTCTGTGAACAAACTGTAGCAGTGCACACTCAGAAAAGTTCAACTGGAAGTTAAACTGGGACACAAATAATCTGAAGCATCTGGAACTGGCCACTCATGAGCATTCTGTGGAAGTAGGGCCCCGTGCTGAAGAACAAGATTCTAACTCTCCATTTCTTCCCAACCACTTTCCCCACCAGGGATATCTTTTGTGGCTTGATACCTAAGTAATCTTCCACAAAGACCATCTATGTTGACTGACGCCAACTACAGAATGAACAGAATCCTGCCTCTGAAACAATGTTGTATCTGTAACCTACAAATGAGGAACAGAACACCCCAAAATACAAAAAGGCTACATACGCTCGCATTCAGACTGAAGACTGGGGCCAGTTCATGCACATGTGTGACATAAATCACACTGCCCGTGGTGGACAAAAAGATGCAATGAAAGCTTTGAAGTAAAGGATTTCCAAAAAACTACAATCATAAAGAAATCCAACTTGTCTTGTCACTTATTTTTTTTTTAATTCTTATTTATTCATTTATTTGACACAGAGAGAGAGAGAGAGACAGCGAGAGAGGGAACACAAGCAGTGGGAGTGAGAGAGGGAGAAGCAGGCTTCCCGCAGAGCAGGGAGCCCGATGAGGGGCTCGATCCCAGGACCCTGGGATCATGACCTGAGCCGAAGGCAGACGCTTAATGACTGAGCCACCCAGGCGCCCTGTCTTGTCACTTATTGACATGTGCACACAAGACTGTAGCCCAAATTTCCAATCTCTGATTGTGAAGAAGGAATTCATTAAAGATAATCTAGTTAAGCTGCTGAATCCCAGATACATTCTGCCATTAGACATGCAGAATAGAATCTTAAATTTCATTAAGATTTGGTCACCGCGTTTCCCAGGAAGTATGGATGTCAGTGAAGTGAAGAAGTGTACCTTGACCTTCTTAAGGAAGGTGTTCAGTTTCCTCCCTCAGATGCTGAGGCTGAATCAGCAAGACAAGAGACTGCTCGGGTCTCATTGACTCCTATTGCACCAGCTCCTCTTTTGGTAATTATTCTCCAGAGCTCTACTATCACACTGGTCCCAAACCAGACTGGACAATTACACAGTGAATTGGATACAGTGAAAATGAATGTGAGGGTGCTGTCCACCACACTGATGCAGACCCACTGTATTCCTGGGTCTGAAAATCATGAAGACAAAGAGAGTTTGGGATGAGCACTTTGTAAGATGGGTCAGGAGATGCAGGACAGGACCATGGACCTTGCTACTCATGGTAGTGGAGACTGAAGATCTAACTGGAGCTAATTCAAGAGAACGAGGATTTAAATAATGCTATCCTTGGATGAGAGCTTTACTCAAAAACAGCAAAGGATCCTGGAGCAAAATAAGAACCAGAGGGAAGATGCCAGTAGCACCAGCGAACATTCTGTCCCATCCTGTGAGCCCCTTGACCTAAGTCCCAGCCCTTCAATGCATGGGGCCACTCTGGGAATGCTCAGCACCATGAATGCTCAGCTTTCAGACTTAAAGTCCTGCTGTAACAAACAACTTGAAACCTAGTCTTCATCCACAGGTGGATTTGTCAGCCTCGGTAAATACAGCAACACCCACGTTTACTTAAAGGACCAGCCAAAACCTCACCTGAAGTCCTACATGTGAGAGTTTTCCAGAACATTCAAATACAGTGTTACTACTATAGCCAGTTAGTCTACAGACCATTCCAGAAACACCGTCAAGCCAGAGACCATCATCCTTGCCCAGCAATCACTCAACAATGACAAAGAATGATCTCCAGCCACCCAATTACTACAAGGTAATGGAGTTTGATCCCTCAGCTCCTGCTGTCACTATAGAAGCTATGATAAAAAAAATTGATGTTTATCATCACAAAAGAGCTGTAAGTCATAGTGACTGTTGAGGTGAAAGTGGATGACTGGCACATTAGCTACATTAGAGGTGCCAATTCTCTAAAAGGTAGAGGGCACCTGGATGGCTCTGTCGGTTAAGCATCGGCCTTCGGCTCAGGTCATGATCCCAGAGTCCCGGGATTGAGTCCCGCATCAGGCTCCCTTCTCAGCAGGGAGTTTGCTTCTCCCTCTGCCCCTCACCCAACTCATGCACGCTCTCTCTCTTTCTCCCTCTCTCAAATAAATAAGTAAAATCTTAAAAAAAAAAAATGTAGATCCTGGGCAGCTTTGAAGCTCAGAAGACAAGACCTACCTGTGCATCAAAACCACAGTGGAACATTTCTCCTCTGCAATAATGAAGTTTAACAGAATAGTAACGGCTCCAGAGTAACATTAATGGTTGCTAAGCACAGCACCAGCTTTACCTCAAAAGACCTTGGTTTAACATATACTCACTTAAAACTTCAGCAGAAGAAAAATTTATTGTACTAATGCAAACCAGTTTAGTTATAGCATCTTACGGTTCACAGGCCTTCCTACATTTAGAAGAGAAGACATCACAAGCTGTGAGAAGAGCAGAGGAAGATTATTTTATTACAAAATAATAAAACTATGGAGTGCCTTCATTTAACTAAAGTTGAATGTAAAAGTCAATTTGTACTTCTTAACAGATGAACATAGAGGAAGGGAAGGAAAAAGAAAATAAGGTAAGAACAGAGAGGGAGGCAAACCATAAGAGACTCTTAACTACGGAGAACAATCTGAGAGTTGCTGGAGGGGCGAGGGCTAGGGGGATGGGCTAAGTGGGTGCGGGCATCAAGGAGGGCAGTTTTGGGATGAGCACTGGCTGTTATATGTAAGTGATGAATCACTAAATTCTACTCCTGAAACCATCACTACACTATATGTTAACTAACTTGAACTTGAATAAAACCTTGGAAGAAAAAAAAGTCAATTTGTACTTCTTTATAAATACTCTTGCTTAGAATTATCACTTGTAAAAAGCTTGATGATTGTAGTTTAAGCATATTTCAGGCACCCTGAAGAGGTCACTGGACTCTATATCAGGTTGCCTTTGATTCTTTGTGATTCTCTGTTATTCTTTAAAATGTTAAATGTTCCTTTCTTTCCCCCTTTTTACTGCAATTTAATATTTCTATTTGGTACAAAGACTAACCGGGAAACATCCAGAATAAATTGTGTTTATGTCACAAATTACAATGACAAATTACCGTTAAAACAACAACAAAAAAAATGTAGATTCGGCCCATATTCATGAAGTACAAACTTCTACTACTCCTGGTGTAAAAGAAAGTGAAGAACTGGGTTTATGTCTCAGTTCAGTTACCTCTGCGCCTTAGAGCGACACTGCAACTTCCGAGACTGCTTCTTCGCGGCACGATGAGGCTCGCCCTATCAACTCCATCTTCCTCGACGGGTTTCTAAAAGAGGCAACGAATGTGAACACACTTTATAAACCACACAGTGCTCTACAGACAGAGCTTCTAATATTTGGCACGGAGGAAGTGCTCAAAAGATCTCTGTTGAACGGATAAAAGAGTAGGATTCTAATTCCCTCACATTCCACCTGGGAGCCCCACGGCTGGCTTCCTTCCAGCACGCTGCCAGGCTGGGGCTCAGTCTAGCAGTCTGAGTAAGAAACAGGAGGACTGAGTGTGAAGCGGAGGCACACTCCGCTGTGACAAACAGCACCGCAAAAAGACAAGAATTCTGTCTCCCGAGGTCAGGGCTTTCCGCTCGCACGCCGGGAGAAGTCTCCAGAAGCCACTGCTCTCATTGCCTGGTGGCGTCTGAAAAATTGCTCTTTACCAGTGATGCCTCAACAGACATGATCTGTATGGTGACATGCTCCAACGTTCCAGTGAGCTCTTACACATGCTCTCCCTGCAAGCCGACTGGTCTTCAGGTATCCCGGAAACACTCAGAGGAGGGGGGTGCGCGGTCCCCTCCTCACTGATCTAAAATCCAAAAAGCTCTGGAAACCAAGTTTCCTCCCTACCCCATTTGGTGGTAAAACCTGACCTGAACCGACAATGCGGCTGTTTATGGTCTGTGCTTAGTCCTCCTGGTGCATTTCACTCAGTAGAAACATGACGGCGTTTGATTATCGGGTGCTACCGAGACCCCGCTGGTGGTGTTACACAGCAGACCGTGCATGCGCTGAAGGGCCCCGCCGAGGCTCTGCTATGGGACTACTGCAGATCTGTAAGGTTTGTCAAAATCTATTAAGGAGTTTCTGTGTATCAGAAACCATTCTAAATCCTTGGCATGGATTATCTGAATCAATCTTCACATAATCTAAACATCTGTCTCATTTTACAAATGAGGAAACTGAGGCACATGTAATTGCCCAAGTCACACAGCAAGTAAGTAGTGGAGCTGGGGATTGAAACCAGGCAGGCTGACTCCAGAGTCTGCCTCCTCCCTTGGCAGCAAACTCATCTTGGCAAATCCTACAGGAGTCAGCAACAGGCAAAATGAGCTGCCCCTTAGGAGACATATTCAAAATCTGGGGTGACCGTGGTATTCAGTAATTTCTACTTGTACTAATTAGGATCCTCCAGAGAAACAGAACCAGTAGGGTATGGCTGTGTGTGTGTGTGTGTGTGTGTGTGTGTAGAGAAAGAGATTTTAAGGAAGCGACTCACATATTTACGGAGGTTGGCAAATCCAAAATCCTGAAATCTGTAGGGCAGGCTGGCAGGCTAGGGAAGAGCTGATCTTGCAGCTTGAGTCTAAAGGCAGTCTGGAGGCAGAATTCCCTCTTCCTGGCAGGACTTCTGTCTTTTTCTCTGAAGGCCTTCAACTGATTGCATGAGGCCCATCATGGAGGGTGATCAGCTTTACTCAAAGTTTACGGACTTAAATGTTAATCACATCTAAAAAATACCTTCACAGGGGCGCCTGGGTGGCTCAGTTGGTTAAGCGTCTGCCTTCGGTTCAGGTCATGATCTCCAGGTCCTGGGATCGAGCCCCATGTTGGGCTCCCTGCTCAGTGGGGAGTCTGCTTCTCCCTTGCCCTCTGCCTCTCCCCCCTGCTTGTACTCCCTCTGTCTCTCTCTCTCAAATGAATAAATAAAATCTTTAAAATAAATAAACAAATACCTTCACAGCAACATCTAGAGTGGTATTTGACCAAATATTTGGGCCTAGCCAAGTTGACGCATAATATTAACCATCATGCTGCTCTTAACATTATCCAGTCTGAACTGGGTGGGTTTATGCTTAACATTATCGTTTTATGAGATTGAAAAATGAGCAACTTAGCAGACAATTCAATTTTGCCCCTGAAGAAAGAGATGCTTCTGATTGCAGGTTCCCTCTGACCCACCTCTGTGCAGACAGGGTATGGGAGTCAGTAAGATACAAGTTGGGCCCTTCACTTTCACTGCAAAAAGCTGCCTCCTGCATCTACGACATTGCATCTGTTAAGTACTGCTCAGTTCACAAATGACAGAAATCCAACTTGAACCAGATTAAGCAAGCAGAGGCTTATTATCAGGATGCTGGGACTAATGAAGATAAACAGAGCCTCTCCGTCCTCCAATGCTTAGAGTCAAGCAACTAGCAGACATTTCATTAACATCAAACAAGGAAAGGGGCAGCTAAGGAATGAAGCAGAAATTTCTGGCCTCGCCCAGCTCCTGAATGTGACCTTCAGCCCCCATGCCCTGCAGCCATTCACCACCAACCACCCCTGGCCCACGGGATGCGGGATCAGGGAGTCAAGAAAGTCCTACACTGTAACTACTTTTTCCAAATTAGGACAGAAGTGAACTGAGGGTAGATCTTTATATATCCCATCTTCCAACTGGCAGAAAAACAGAAATGGCTCCTAGGAAGGGACGGATGAGATAGGTGACACCCATGGCCCATTCTCTCTGCCAGAAATGAAGGCTTCAGGGCCCTTCAGTGACTCTAGGGCCTTGGGTGGGGGTGGGGGGTATATAATCTGGAGTGTAGGGACCCTAGCCCATGAGAATATAATCTACCCTCAGTAGGTGGAGTGAATTCTCATAAACAACATTTGACAAAATCAGATTATAGAACAGAAGATGGGTGTTCTGATAAAGATTTCTCATAGCTTCAACCACGTTTTTTCCCCATTCCCAAGGGTACAAAAAAAGAGAAAAAAAGGCTGAAAGAAAACTAAATATCTAGCCTTCAAATAACTGAGAGTGGGAAATGATGGAGTTTCAGATCCAGTAGAAGAGGCAAGGGGAATTCATTCACAACACACGAAGACAGATAAACATTTTGGAAAAGCTTCTCAGATTAAGGATAATCAAGATGAAATAAGAGGACAAGACACCATTCAAACACAGGACAGCAAAAGAGGAGGAAGAAATGCAAGGGAAGAAGGAGGGAAAGGAGGGAGACAAGGAGGGAGAGAGGGTCTGGCAGGGGAATCCAGGGATGTTTCCTAACCAGCTGCTCACACAGCAGGACCTGGGCTGGGTTTTCTCAATGCTCTGTCTCCCTCGATTCCTACCCAACTTCTGGCCAGGATTCCCTCTAGTCTTCCCACCTGTGAGGCACCCAACATCCATCTGACCAATTTCTTTCCTGCTTATGTGAACCAAAATTGAATTTTGTTGTTTAAAACCAAGAACCTAAAATAATACAGATGGTGAGCAATTAATCTATTTCAATAGAAAACTAAGATGAAGTAACTGAGGGAACCAGAGATACAAAACAGGTAGAGATGTTACAAACTCTGCCAATATATAATATACAATGAAAACAGGAGGCGGGCGAGCAGAGTGGGAATGGGAGTACTAATTTCCTCGACCTTTCCTAGCAGGGAATTAAGAGATACTAATTAAAATGGAAACATGTAGTTTTAAGAACCATAATGACTCATAATGTTTCTTGTAATCATTTCATAAATCCTAGAGTGAAACTTCAGGGAATGCAGGTGAGGAAGCTTAAGTTGGGGATAACAGACTTTACCCAAAACCTCGCAGCTGCTGCCTCCAATCACAAATTCAGCCAATGTGTCTACAAGGTGCCACGCAGGACACTAAGTGCTGGGCTTATCCTGGAGGACAACCCAACACAGTCCCTGCCTTCATCAGGCTGACAGTCTGGTGGGAGAGCTGGGCTGAAACAAGTGGACAAAGAAATAAATATGAAATTCTAACTGTGAAAAGCGTGTGAAGGAAAAGAACATACTTGACCAAGGGTGGGCAAGACCCTCTTGACAAGGGGAGTGCGACATTTAAAGAGACTTCAGGGGCGCCTGGGTGGCTCAGTCATTAAGCGTCTGCCTTCTGCTCAGGTCATGATCCCAGGGTCCTGGGATCGAGCCCCACATCGGGCTCCCTGCTCCGCGGGAAGCCTGCTTCTCCCTCTCCCGCTCCCTCTGCTTGTGTTCCCTCTCTCACTGTGTCTCTCTGTCAAATAAATAAATAAAATCTTTTAAAAAAATAAAAAAATAAAAAGAGACTTCAAAGTTGGGGGGGGGGAACAGCCTCACAAAGATGGAAGGGGGAGATAATACCAGACAGAGGGGACCGCATGTACGGCAATCCCAAGGAAGGTGTCTTAGTCCACTTGGGATACGATAACAAAAATACCACAGACTGGATGGCTTATAAATAACAGAAACTTATTTCTCACCGTTCTGGAGGTGGGGAAGCCCAAGATCAAGGTGCCAGCAGATTCGATGTCTAGCGAGTACCCGTTGGCTGGTGCAGAAGGACAGACCTTGGCATGCTGGAGAAAACTGAGATGTGATGTAAGTAAAGGGAAAGGGGGCGTGGAATGACGGTGATAAAGACGGCAGGAGTAAACAGTGCAGGGCAGGCTTGTGTGCATGTGGAATGGCATCCAGCTTTTATTCCAAGAGCAGCGGAAAGTCTCTGAATAGTCTTCATCAGGGGAATGACAGGATGACATGTGTATATGTAGCATCCACTGTGCTGTGGTCGGAAAGTGGTCTGGTGGGCCAGGAGCACAGAATGGGGAAGACAGGTTGGAGCAGTGGTCCAGGGGAGAACTGATGTTGGTTGCACTGGGTTGATGGTAGTAGAAATAGAGATGAAGACCGACTGGAACGCCATTTTGGAAGTAAAGTACAAAATCTTAGGTGATGCATCAGATGTGAGAGGTAGGGGGGAAAGAGAGAAAAATCAAGAATGACTCCCAGGTTTCCAGGGTAGGCTACTGGGTGATAACTATTTACTACAGTAAAAGCTTTGTGATACATGTTTTAAGGAGGGACTCTTAAGAATTTCAGACATTTCAGGGGTGCCTGGGTGGCTCAGTCGGTTAAGCGTCTGCCTTGGGCTCAGGTCATGATCCCAGGGTCCTGGGATTGATATCGGGCTCCTCACTCAGTGAGGAGGAGCCTGCTTCTCCCTCTCCCTCTGCCTGCCACTCCCCATCTTGTGCTCTTACTCCCACTCTCTCTCTGTCA